CAGCTTTATAGAGGACCTGTCACCAGCAATATGCTATCAGAAAGCCCCCCTATGGGGTAGCAATACATTTAAATGTAAAAAAAGAAAACAAAGTTTAAAAAAATGAAAGGTAAATAAATATAAAATTAATAAAGCCCCCTACACCATGAACACACACACACACACGTGAGTCGGGTGCTCCTACGTATGAAAACCAATGTACCGGTACACGGTACCGCCATGCATTCCGGAATGAGAGCAAAAATTCTCAGGCCAATGCTCACGGTTAACTCTAAATTGATGACCCGTACAATTTTATAAAGCGTTGCCTATGGACATTTCGGGGTAGCGTATTTTTTAAGCTTGGCATGTTTGCAGTGGTGTCACGAGGGGGGTGCGGCCTGCACACGGGTGACACCATTGGAGGGGTGACACCAAAATGATTGACAGTCATTTTGGTGTCACCCCATCTGAAAAGTCAGGCACTCGGTCATGGACCGAGAGCCCAACAATGTCAGGAGAGAGGAAGGGACCCGGCGGCATACCTTATCCCACCGGGTGAACGTCCCCTCCTCTCTCTGCCAGCGTTCATCACCAAAATGGCCGCCGGCAGGTAACAGCAAGTGATGTCATCACGTGTGCACAAAGGCGTCACGGCGGGGTGTCGCCTGGTACCGACGGGCTGTCACCTGGTACAGGGCGACACTCCGCCTCAGGACGCCCCTGCATGTTTAGTATCCATTTACTCAGCACAACCTCATCTTTTATACATTCCCAAAAAATTGGGTGTTTTTTGTGTGATTGTGCACTACAATTCATTTCAATAACTTTGTATTGCAAATTTGGGTTTGATAAACAGCTGTGCTCATATCAGGCAACATAAAGAAGAGAAAAAAAAACAAACGCGCAACTTCTGCCATTTTGTTCTCCAGGGTCTCTGCTTTCAGGAAATACAATTTGAATTTGGGGGGGCTTTAAGCAATTTTCAAACCTAAAATGCGCATTTTAACATGTGGGCAAAACCGGCTCTGGCAGCGAAAGGGTTTAAGGTGCCTGTTTTTCCCCAAAGCAACGACTTACCGTCAGTCGATTACATTTCGATTTTGTGATCACTCCTAAGAATATTTCGGCCGCGTTGAACTCTACCAGGAACTGCGCCACCTCCTGGAAGACAATAAAACAGCAGCTGAGGATTTGTCCGGGCTCGCTGGCTGCGATTTATAAGCCGTGAGTCCTTCAAGGCTCCTAATTGGCAGAGCAGTTTGGACCACCTAGCAGAAGCCAGGCGGACCCCTCTCCTTATTGACCAGCGAGTAATGTGTTGGGGGTTCTCATAAAGAGAGACTCCCAGTTGAGGGGAGGAAGCAACCCAATTTGCCACCCAAGACTTCAGAGTAGACCCGAAAACCCACACCCGTCATCCTTGTGGAGTAAAAAAACACACACAAAGTGAAAGTGCACAGACGAGTGAAGAAAAATAAACGAGTGGCAATGTGCTATACAATGGCTGGACCTTGCGGCCTGGTATAAAAAACTTCCCCGGACCAAGAGGAGTAGCCCAAGAGGCTTAGTGAAGACATAAGCAGACATTATCAAGTGGTATCGTGGCCTAATGTCGCTTGATACAGTGGGATCTCCAACCCATAGTGTTACTCTGGCACTGCAGGGGTGCCACTCAACACCGCTGGCTTCCTGCCTCCCCAGCCCATGGCGAATCCAGGTAGGTTTAAAATCAGGAGGCACTGGGCCCCTTAGAATTCCCTGCATTGGGGAAGTACTCCTGGCCCCTACCTTACCCAGTGGGCACTGAATTCAGTTTCCTTACCCACAGCAGGGACCCCTCAGGACCCCCATCATACCAGGCCAAAGGGCCAGGACAGCGGCACATTTCATTTCCTGGATACTAATAAGAACAGATCTTGGCCAAAAGGCAGAGAAGACATAATTACTCTAGTTGATGGCCATCCCTCTGGGATGAAAACACCCTCTGCAGCCGAAGGTTGAGGATGTCAAGAACTGGTCCCCAAAGGGTAAAACAAAAGTACTGAGAATCCGGGGCTTGCCAGAAACAAGTACTTTTGTTTGTGTGTTACATCAGAATCACAAAAAACAATATAAGCAGCATTTAAACCCGAAAGGTTAATCTGAATGTGGCATTTCTAGATATATATTTAGGGTGGATTAACTACAACAAAAGGTCTGACCTTTAAAAATGGCAATTAAGATAAATAAGATTAAGGTACACTGCAAGGGGTAGAGGTGTCCAATGGCAGCACCCCAATCAGAACCGTAAAAACAGAACCAGGAAAGATAATTCTAAATGCAAATCACACCGCTACAAGGAAGGAGAAGCAACTATATACAGAAGATTGGATTGGTGTCCTCATCATGGCTCTGTACAAACTCCCAGAGTCACCTTACAACTTGTCATTTATGAGGCCGATCCAAAGTGGAGAGCGAAGAGCAATGCGAAACTCCAGTAACATGTCATAGATATTCCAGACAGATAATATATTATCAGACAGATAATATAATAAAACTAACCGAATTCACCTTGGTAACCTGTCAGACATGTACTGTTGTATGATACCTAGTAAATAAGATGAAAGTGTAGATAGACAGAAAGATAAGAGAGGAGAGGAAAAAGGACGAGAGGAGAGGAAAAAGGTCGAGAGGAGAGGAGAGGAAAAAGGACGAGAGGAGAGGAAAAAGGAAAAGACGAGAGGAGAGGAGAGGAAAAAGGAAAAGACGAGAGGAGAGGAGAGGAAAAAGGAAAAGACGAGAGGAGAGGAGAGGAAAAAGGAAAAGACGAGAGGAGAGGAGAGGAAAAAGGAAAAGACGAGAGGAAAAAGGAAAAGACGAGAGGAAAAAGGAAAAGACGAGAGGAAAAAGGAAAAGACGAGAGGAAAACAAAAGACGAGAAGAAAGGAAAAGACGAGAGGAAAGGAAAAGACGAGAGGAAAGGAAAAAGACGAGAAGGAAAAGACGAGAGGAAAGGAAAAGACGAGAGGAAAGGAAAAAGACGAGAAGGAAAAGACGAGAGGAAAGGAAAAGACGAGAGGAAAGGAAAAGACGAAAGAGAAAAGGAAAAAGACAAAAGGAGGAAGGAAAGGAGAAGAGGAGAGAGAGTTGAAGAAAGGAAAAGACAAAAGGAAATGAGAGGATAAAAGGAAAAGGAAAGAAAAGGAAAAGACGTGAGGAAAGGAAAAGACGTGAGGAAAGGAAAGGAAAAGACAAAGATACAAGGAAAGGAAACGTATAGAAGACTCAAAGCTTGGTTGTAAGTCTTGTTTTTTCACAGAGGTGTCTTTGCTCATTAGCATATGTAAATCAGGCAATACACATTACCTCGTTCATGGTCATGTCCCAGACTTTACAGAAGTCGTTCTCCGTGTCTTCATCCAGCTCCACGCTGGCCTCCTCCCCTTCCACCGGTTTGTCTTTATCCGCTGTAACAACCTATGTTGAAAATTAAGGTAAACTCCAGTCAAACATGAACATTTTGGCCTCACACTGACAGAGGACGGAGTGAGACTGCCGAGCCGCTCCAATATCCTTTCAGCTATTTATCTTCTGCCCCCAATTTTCCAAAACTCCACAACTCCTGCGATCCTTATTAAAAAACAGGGAAGAACTACTTTGGCAGCCAAAGGATGTTTGTTAGGTGTAAGGCAACACAGATATTCTAGAACAATTCTGCAGACTCTGTGACACTGCCCCGCCTCCTCTTTACACTACCAGTGCACATCACCACACTTGGGGTGCCCAGCTGGAGCTTCCTCTCATCTAAGTACAGGGCAAGCTCCGACCACCGGATTTTAGCAGGCGTGTGGAAGTACAATATAATTGCACGTGTCTATTCTGTCTGCAATGTAAAAATGATGTTATATTTATAATATCAGCACAAACAGAGGTTTAAAATCTAACTCCAGACTCCTCCCACAAGTGACCCGCCACCCCAGTATGTTATGCTTTTTTTCATATACTTACCTTGTTCAGATGTCTTGTGACCAGTCACATGATGCACAGGGTTCATCTTCCAGTGCTGATGTGATAACGTCAGTGCCACTTTCTGCATCCATACGAGTGGTGACGCCCACTCAGGAGGCGGACCCACGACGCCCTGCACTCACAGTATGTCCTCAATCCTCCATGTTGAGTCATACTGAGCAGTGGCGTAACCAGAGTTATGGGCGCCCGGGGCAGAACATTTTACCCCCCCACCCCAACACATATATATCAGCTAAGGAACTACAAGTCCAAGCATGCCATCATTGTCCCTGTACACCCCCCCACACACACAACAGGGGACAGCACCAGACTGAAGGGTGAGTACTGCAGCTTGATATATATATTTTTAACACCTTGCTGAGGGACCAATAAAAATAACATACGTGGGCTGTTTGTATCTGAACACAGGAAGTGGAATCATGTGACACATATCGTATACATACATCTATAAGCTTGGTCAGGGTGCTGAAGAACCAGTGCTTGCTGTACACGGTGCTCCCGATAGAATCTCCCGGCGGCTCCTCTTCATCCTCTCTGGACACTATGAAAGAGTACCTGTCATGATACAGGAGTGGGCACCGACGACTGTTTTTACTTTAACAGGAGTTAAGGGATTTGTATTTCTGTCCACCCAGTGCTGAGATTTGCACAGCCCTGCCAGACAGCACAGCCAACGGCCTGACTTTTCTCTGCTGCAGTTAAGCACAACTTGTTCACCTCCCCATGCTGTGATTGGACAGTGAGGGGAAAAGCAGCAGCAGATCCCGCTGCTCACACTGCTCTCTTCTCCTGTCAGCATGTTCCTCCTCGAGGGAATGCTGGACAATAAAACAGGTCATCAGCCGAGATCCACACCGGCAACCCCCCTCCTTTCTCCTCATTCTGGATTATTGTCCAGAACCTAAGTCCCGATGAAGGGGGATTTCTATCCCCCCCAAAACGCGTTGGTTTACTTTTTCCAGATTTGTGTACCATTCAAAGGGACTTTTAGGAGACTTGTGGGCCTCTCGCCCTTTCCTTAATTCCTCCAATCGTTCCCACACATCGAGCTGCTTGCAGCACGCCTCCGTTATCAGCGGAATGTAAGCCAACACCTTGTGTTTTATCTCATGACATTTCGGACTGGATGAGGAATCTGTACAAAAACCACAAAAATACAATCCCATAATAATACAGATCAAATAATGATAACAGAAGCCGAGTATATTTATACCGCCTCCCCTCCGCACTGCGAGCATTATAGATTATGACCGTCCAGAAGGAGCGCAGAGACTAACTGATCAGCGAGTCCCCTTTCCTGACGGGTCAGCTTCAAGACGAGGTAGGAGAAAGAGGAACTAAAAACATACAAAATATCTTACAAGGGAATTCACAATTTAATTGTATTTTTTTAAATTCGTATCCAAACCTAAGAACTCAAATGTAGCACGTTGCAGAGTACAAGTCCTTAGATGTGGCGGCTGCATTCGTTTTCCCTTTACAGAGCACAGAAATATATATTTGTTGATCCCGATAGAAATCCAGCGTCCTCGTCACTTCCTGTGAGCTGAATGCAAATCTCAAAAACAATGTAATCAGCTTTCTCCGGTTATTCTCAGTCCCTTCACCCTATGTGATGGGGATGAGGAGAAGTGGAGGTGTTTGTAGTCCAAATCAGGAGAACAGCTTAGAACAGGGAAGGAGAAGTGTTGTCATCTTAAGCCACAGCTAGGCAACCTCAGCACTCCAGCTGCGGTGAAACAACAAATACTAGGGTTGCACAGATACCAAGTACAGTACTCGGTACAAGTACGAGTACAAGTACCGATACTTTTGAGCTCCAAGACTACACTAGAGAAAAATTCAAAAATTAGGAGGCAGCTGTCATGTATAAGGAGCACACGGAGCTCCTGGGATTTGTACATCTCTGTTTTAATGTACGATTTCGTTTTTATAACTATAAATAAAGGGATGCACAGATACCAGTTTTGCAAGTATGAGTACTGGTACTTGGCGAGTACTTACGAGTACTGATACATTTTTGTTTATGGTCATGTGACAGTTTTTCTAAAACAATACAGACTAATGATTTCAGGACAGAGGTGGAGCACCAGAGCCAGGTCCCAGCTGCAACCTCTGCAAGCGCTGCAACCCTGGTAGTTCATGAAAATGCCAAGTATCGGCATTAGTACTCGAAAAGTATCTGTGCATCCCTAACTAATACAATTTTGCCTCTGTGATTCATGTTTGTGGCCGTCAGTCTTGCCTATGCCTCATGGGGCCTGTAGTCTCACCACCGCTGGCGTGCCGAGGTGGCCTACGCTGGGCTTATGATGACAGCATCACTCCTCCCCTGTCCTAAACAGCTTTCATTGCAAGGTTTGGTTGCAATCAGGAGCTCTTCCTTGCAGTAAGTCCTTTCCGCCACTAGATGTCACCAGTCTTCAGGTTGTATGACAGCCAGCCTCATACTGTAGCTCTAGCTGTCATAGACACACCCCTGGAGGTGTCTCAATATGCCAGCCTGGGCTTAGAGTACTTCTGCAGTGAACGGAGGTCACATGTCATTATGTGATCACTGCTCAGTCCAGGAGGAAGGTTCTCCACCACCAGAAGAGAATAAAGCTGGCCATACAGCTATAGATTATCTGCAGATTTTCTATGGTCAGATTCCTCCATCTACGCTAAACTGTGTGGATGGAGGAATCTCTTGCTGGACCAAGCTTCAGTATCTTGCTGGTCGGCCCCGCTGGCTGTCAAAATATCTTAAGAATGCCTGCATCCAATCAAATTGTTCAGGTATTTTGAGATCCAGCGGGGCCGAGTAGCAAGATACTGAAGCTTGGCCCAGCGGGAGATTCCTCCATCCACACAGTTTAGCGTAGATGGAGGAATCTGTTGCACTTTTTCCATCTGGCCATAGAACATCTGCAGATAATCTAGGAGGTGGATGGCCAGTTTAAGGAGGACCCGTCACCAAGCCAGCCAGGAGACCCTTCAAAATAAGACAGACAGTCTGTGTGGGGTGAAGTAGGGTTCTCACAAATTTCAAATCTTGCAATTCCACTTTACTAAAGGCATCTCTTAAATCCAAACTGAGCTTTTAGTTGCAATCCGTTAAATACATTCCTAGCTTATCAAAACAAAAAGGTGTGCAAAGTCTTGCAGTTGACTTTCTTTAGAAAGCAGCCACAGCCTGAGTAGAAAGGCCTGCCCCCTGCCAGCATGCTGCAGAGAAGGATTCTCGCTCTCTGTGTAGAAGCGGCCACCTCTCTGCAGGGGGGGAAGGGGCCGCCTCTCTGCAGGGGGGGAGAAGCTGCGGCCTCTCTGTAG